CCTTCCTTCCTTCCTTCCTTCCTTCCTTCCTTCCTTCCTTCCTTCCTTCCTTCCTTCCTTCCTTCTGGCGGTGGCTTACTTTTTTCTGAGTTTGAATGCCTTCTGCTTTGTTTTGTTAAGTGTTTCTAATGCTGCCGTGGAGGATCTGATAACAGCTGCAACCACAGGCATTTTGAGGCATGTTGCTGCTGAAGAAGTATCCATGGAAAGGCAGAGAAGAGAGGAAGAAAAGCGACAGGCTGAAGAGGAAAGGTGGGTGTGTCCTGTTCCTGTAGCTGGGCACGGAGGTCAGTTTGTACCAGCCCTCACCTGTGATACCCCTCTTGCTATTCACTGTGTGACTGGCCATTCACTATCTGACCCATGAGCCATTCAGCACCCTCATGATTTGATTTGACTAAGAGAAAGCTAGTGTGTGTGTGTGTGTGTGTGTGTGTGTGTGTGTGTGTGTGTGTCTGTCTGTCTGTCTGTCTGTCTGTCTGTCGGGAGGTGGATGGCATATGTATGTGAATGCGGGTTCCTGAGGAGGGCAGAAGATGGTGTCAGGTACCTGGAGCTGTAGTTACAGGCAGTTGTGAACAGTTCCATGTGGGTGTTGGGACATGAACTCAGGTCCTCTGCAAGAGCACTGTGCCTTCTTAACCATGACCATCTCTCGGGCCCTCATTTATTTTTATTCTTAAGTATTACCTTTGTGCTTTTTTTCTTTTGCCCATAGGTTGAAGCAAGAGAGAGAACTGGTGTTAACTCAGCTGAGCGAGGGCCTGGCTGCAGAGCTGACAGAGCTCATGGTGACGGAGTGTGTGTGGGAGACCTGCTCTCAGGAGTTAAAGTGAGTGATGTGCTGGGGTCCTCCTGAGTGCCAGGAGTGTGGTAGGAGGAAGGAGGCACCATGGCCAAGCTGGTTGTGGTGTGTGTATATATATCAGGGTTACTTTTCGTAGCCCTGTCTGTCCTGTAGACAGGCTGGCCTTGGCCTCAGACTTGCAGAGCTCCATCTGTCTGGCCTCCCAAGTGCTGGCATTAAATGCATGCACTACCATGCCCCATAAGAAGCTTATCTTTTAGATAGACAAATGTAATATGCTGTTCTAATAGAGAGGCCCTCTGTTTCAGTCTCCTTATCGTGGACCCTGCATAAGGCATGGGCTGTGTCCGTTAGTAAATTTACTAGTAGAATCCCTTCTATACCAGGCTGTATGCTATTATTTTCCAAGTAAGAGAACCTTTCTACTTGTATATGTTAAGATTTCTTTGGACTTTTCACCTAAGAGTTTTAATCATTTTACTGTTGAGCTTCAGGAAGGAAAGGATGCCGGTTGTAAAGGAAAAGCTTTCCCTGTGCTTATGTTTCCCTGAGATAGCATGAAGGTGGTGGACCACAGCGTACATTACAGCTCCCAGGAGGTGGGAGCCCACCCAGAGGTGGTGTATTTTCAGCTGATGGCTCTTTCTATTCTTGTTAGTTGGGATCCTGTTTCTCTAGTTACTAGAAGGAAGAGATTTCACGAAATGATGGCAAGTATGTCTGTTCTTTGAGGCAGGGTCACACTTAGTAGCCCAGAATAGTCTGGCACTCACTGTGTAGCCCATGTTGGCCTTGAACTTGTGGTTATTCTTCTACATCACCCTCCCATGTACTGGGATTAATTTAGTATGTTGGGTTGTTTTGTTTGTTTGTTTTTGTTTTGAGACAGG